GAAATTCCAACTGAAGTACCGCACCAAATATCCAGTTTGAACGTGAAACTTGCATTTTTGCAACAGGATTGTGCGAACTTTCGAGTCCAATTTTCATTCGATTCAAATTGCCGCCGGAAACAGAAAATGTTGTCTGTAAATTTAAATGTAGTTGTATTTTTCATGCTTGAAAGTCGCCCAAACAAAAACACTTTGGAAAAACTCGATGTGTTTTCGAAAATAAAACCGCAAAGATCGAACGGTCGTGGGGCAAATTAGGGGTTATGGGCAAATGTGAAAAGAATCCAAAGCGAAAGTGGATCGTTTTGCTTCAAATGTGCGCGATTTAAACATAGAAACCCGACGAATTTTTAGAAGAAAAACACGACTTAAAGTTCACATTTTTATTGAAATTTGAGCATCCATTTTTAACTCTCAACTGAAAATATCGACAATGGAAAAAAGTGTACGAGAATGAGGCACTATGCAGATGACCAGGTAGTGGTTGCTCAAGACAAGGAAAACCTAGAGTATATGTATGCCCAGAAAACTGAACTCAATATTATGACAGAATGACAAGAAGAAACACAAAGACTTTAAGACAATCTACTGGTAGTTGAAATGAATTTTTGGCGAGATGAAGATCAGCGAGAAAATCAATGCCAGAACACAGTCGAAAATGAATGTAAAAGGATCATTTTTTCAACATCATCAACAACTTTCTTAATTTACAATTGAATTACTGAGCATTGAAATAGTTCAAAAACTCACTCAATGTAGTTAAAATGATTGCAAATTACGACCGATAAATATTAATTGAAAAAATAACATCTCGGAGCGGCGAATCGATGTTCGAAACACTCTCCAATGCGAACTTATGCACCCCGGAGGGGCCATTAAAACCGAATAAAAAAGCCGATGGTAGGTGACAAAGAGCCGGGCACAAAGAGGGGCCACATTTCGTTTTCATTTCGATTTTCGAGCACAATGACAAGCAACGACATTGGCTCCTCTTTGGGGAGAATGGCAATGAAGGTGGAAAGTGGGAGTTGCGTCCCGTACAACTGCATAAAAGCCTCTGGTAATATCGTTAAAGGATTGGAATGCGCAAAGGCTCTTATACAAATTGTGTTTGTTAAATTGTTTGCCCAGCTAACAGAATAGAAACCGGGCAATTTTTCGTAGATATAAATTCCAAGATTGGTTGTTGTTGCCAGTGTTTAAGCACTGGCTGCCTTAGATTTCCTCGCCGTCTTTTATGGCAAATTTCTCAGTATCTAGAAGAAGAATCTATTAAGATGCGATCTTGAACAGTCTATAACTTGACACAAGGGTTGGGACAAATTTGTCTTCAATGCAACTAGAGGTTGAAATAATATAAATTTTTGAAATCTTTTAAGGTCTGTGCGTTTTTGCCTTTCTTACGCTATCTGTGTCAGTCGATAGAAAGAAACCCAAGTAAAACTAGGTGTAAATTTGGTTGTATTAATTGTAGCAACTTAATTTTTACTAGTTTATGAAAATGCTTAAGAGTTTCGCGGTTTGGTCGTACTTGCACCGGCCACCTCTATTGTTCTGTCCTCAAATATCCGGATACGAATTGCATGCGTCGATACAGAAAACAGCAATTGAAACTTGCTGTGAATTTTACTCAATTTAGGTGAGTGGCTTAATTTTCATTAATTGATGAAAATTTCTAAAATTTGCTCGATGGCCTTTTCTTCCACTGTCCTGTTTTGCTCATTTCCCAATAACCAGACCTGAAATAAGCATGCAAACTCCAATAATTAATAAAAAAAAGCTTCACTTGAGTTTTTAGCCAAATTTAGTTCAAGTCAGCTTCATGGTGGTAGAGAAAATTGAGTCATTACTTGGTGAAGATTGTCCATTCTTGCATTGTCTTGCGCCATTGCTCATTGCTCAATCCTCAGGACAGATATCGGCATGCAGACTTCGCCAGTCGATAGAAAAAACGTGACTTTGCTTCTCTAGTGAATTTGGGCCCATACGCCAAAGTGGCTTAAGTTTAATTAATGGGTTAAAATTCCCAAGAGTTGCGTCATTTAGCCATTCTTACACTCTTTTCCGCTAGTGTTGATTTCTCATTACTTAGAACAGGTAGGTATTGGGATACGCGCTTGAAAAGTCGATAAAAAAAACTTCAGTTGAGAAACCGTATAAATTCAGTTCCAATCAGTGCAGTAACTAAATTTTAATTAATTGATGAAAATTTTTAACTTTTGACCGATTTTGCTGTTCTTGCCCTGTCTTTATCTATTGTTGATTTCCCAATACCCTGGCCAGATATCGACTTGGGGATGTTACGAATCGACAAAGAAAGCCTCAATGGAGATTTGTGTGACCCTTGGTTCTTTTTAGGTAGGCGCTTTAATTTGCGTTTTTTACTAAATATTTCTAAAATTGGCGTGATTGACCATTCCCATTCCTGCACTGTCTTCGTCCGTTGCTCACTGTTTACTATCCAGAACAGGCATCAGCATGCAGCTTTCAAAAATGGTTAGAGAAAACTCTATTTGAGACTCCGTGCAGAACCAGCTCCATTCTACTAAGTGCTTGAATGTTCATGAATTAGTAAAGTTTCCTACAATTTGCGCTATTTATGCACTTTTGCACCGTCGTCATATATTGCTTGTGTCTCAACATACAGAACGGATATCGTCATGGGGTCTTCATATTTGTTGTGCACTGGGTTTCATTTGGCTAAGTGGCTAAAGTTGAATTAAATAGTGAAAATTGCTAATTTTTGCGGCATTCCATCTTCCGCTGTCTACCGCCATTGCCCATCTCTCATTACTAAAGCACGGAATATATGCAGTTAAATTTAATCAAAATATGCGCATATATATGCATAATTTTTATTCCAAATATGCAATTATATGCATTTATTTGGCCAAATATGTAATGGTATGCATTTATTT